ACAACACTTCCATGAAGAGCCATCTAATATCCATCATTAATTCCTATGTTAATTTCTAAATCAACCAATTTTAACTTCGCTTTAAATGCAAATATTTCAAAACTCTCGTTTTTTAAATAAATGTTAGAAATATCCATTTAGATCTCCTTTATTTTATTATAGTGACTTTTAAAGTCAACAACTATACATAAGAATAAGAATTACCAACAATTTCAAATTCTTCCAGATCTGAAAAGACTCTTCAGAAGCAAGATTCTGTAAAAATAAGAAATCAAGAGAAAAAAAATCATTTAAGTTTTTTTGTGTTAAATATTTATATTTTTTTCTGATCATTTAAAGTTATTTTAAAATAAATCCAGTCGAGTTGATCATCCTTTATTTTTCAATTTTTTTCCTCGAGATTCTGAATTGCAATAATGTAATATTTCATTCAGTGCACCGAAATATATACAGGGTTACCCACAAAGAATGAGACTTCAGAGATGACTTTACATATTTTATAGGCTATTTTAGTTCTATTTATGTTTTTCTACAACTGTAAATAACTTTAATTTTTCTTTAGCAAAAAAAGCCAGTAAACCAAAGTTAACATTGAAAGTAAAACATTTTTAGAGTTTTAGTAACCTTTGCAGTCTCATTTTTTGTGGGTAACCCTGAATATGCTCTGAAAGAGGTGTAGTAACGGAGTTTTGAAAGTATAGTAGTAACGGAGCTCCAAAAAAGGAGTAGTAACGGAGCTCCAAGAGAGGAGGAGCAATGGAGCTCCAAGAGAGGAGTAGTAACGGGGCTTTAAAAGAGGAGTAGAAAAGGTGCACCGTAAATCACTCCGTTCGGTGCACCTCAATCACATCCGTACAGGATACTGCCGAACCTCCGTTCTTTGAGAATCGGAGTTCCGTTTTTGAACTCCGCGACATGATTAACGCACACCTTTTCTCCTCCGTTCTTTGTATTTTTTCTTGCTGGGAGTTCAAATGAGCATTACGTAATCTTGTTTGAACCATTGTTTATTTCAACTACTCACATGGTACCACGTGCAGTAGTTCAAACGAACAATAGTTCAAATGAACAATAGTTCAGACAGGAGTAGTTCAAACGGGATAGCATCTGGATTCTCTGGAGGAGCGGGTACCGACACAACAAATGTGCAATGAAACAAAATCAACTACACTTTATAATGTTGTCTTCCTGTTCCCAAATTTTTCAGGGTGTTTTACAGAGCGTCCCATATCATATTAGATTATCTCCAATTTTTAACGCCAAAATACAACCATAATACTCGAAAAAAAGTAGTAGTTTCCGCAAGAAAATTCTTATATTAGCCTTATTCAATTTTTCAAAATTATTCATTCTTCTGAAATTTTCTGATTAGTCTCGAAAATCGTAATTTAGACCGACTGAGGATCTATTATTATGTGTAAGAGTAATTACTTCTTGATTAGCAAACGAGAACCGTTCTGAATCACTCTCTTGAAATATAGAGCTAGATTGGGAATCCAGACAGATAAAATTTGTGTCCGGATTGACATTTATAGTAAAGTATTAGTAAACTGAATATCTCTTTGTTGACGTATAGCAGCAAGATTCTCAATAATGAACAGATAAACAACTGGATAACCCTGAAATCAAAACCGATAACAAAGAAAACTCTTTATTTCCTGAAAAAAATGATATAAATAATAGCATATGAATTATTACAATGAATTTTTATAATGGAAAGATTCTTACGATCTAATAAGCGATATTGGAGGGTTAAATCGTCAGACAGTCGTCAACCATAAGGAGAGGGAACGAGCATTGAAAGACTTTTATGGAGTAAGGCATTTACTACACGAATACAGAATTATGTCTGGATTGGTGTTGCAGTAAAGAACTGAATAGTTCTATGCCTCTTGGATTAACAAGAGGTATTGAGTTGTATCTTGAAACATAGATACCTGAGAATACGGAAGTATATGCCTGGATTGGTATTGTATTACAAAACAGGATAGTTCTATGCCTCGTGGATTAACGAGAGGAATTGAGTTGTATCTTAAAACATAGATACCCGGAGTTCTAGATAGAGTTGTACCTGGTTTGATACGGGTCTAAACGAATTTATTGGAGTAAGGCATTTACATACACGCCTATGGCAACATGCATGAATTTTTTTTTAAATGCACTTTTACCATCCCTGTAAATTCAAGCCTTGTTTTACTTCGTTCTCCAGTTCAAGATGTCGAAAGTAAGATATCTAAATTATAGGGGATTTTCCCCTGATCACAAAAAGACAACAAATTTCGCTGGTTTTATAAAAAAAAAAATACGTGGATTTTCAGAATTTTCAAAAATCCAATTTTGTTGCAGGCAAATTTTTGAAAATTCGATCAACCATAAAACTTCACTGGAGTCACGCCAGGTCCCACAAAAAAGTTGGGCCCGACCGGTTTATCCGCTTTGACGTTTATTGGATGCAAGCGTACAGAAAAACAAACTAACCGACAAGCAAAGTATATATAATATATATAGATGTATGGTGTAGGGACATGCCTGATTCACAATAGTACCTGTAACCCTTTATCTGATCAATTATGTGGAAACCACAAAATTAAAAATAACCAATATTTAAAGTTAAAAACTCGGATATCTTATTAACTAATTGATAATTTAAAAGGTAATGTTGTGAATCGGACATGGTTATTGTAAATTATGTCTACTGCAGTTCATTTTAGGTATTTCTAACTGTAACACTGAACATCTAATTACATCTTATTCTTTCAAAAGAAAGAAAAAATATAATTTTTCTTCTAGATTTCAATTTCATTTGTAATTTGTAATTATGAGAGCGTGAAACTATCTTATCAAGACTATTACTAACCAAACATTTCTTGAAATCTTACTTTTCTTTCTCTCCTCAATATTTTCCTTTCTTTATCCTTTCCACGTTTCTTCATTCTTTTGACTTTTCTTTTCATCTCTTCATTCTTTCCTCTCTTTAATCTTTCCTCTTTTCATTCTTTCCTTTCTTTAATCTTTCCTCTTTCCTCTTTTCATTCTTTCCTTTCTTTAATCTTTCCTCTCTTTTATCTTTCCTCTTTTCATTCTTTCCTTTTTTTAATCTTTCCTCTTTTCATCTTTTCCTTTATGCATCCTGAAGTATTCTGATAAGATTTATTAACATAGTTATATGAATCAGGGAACAGTCCCTTAACATGGGTTTAGGTCGAGAAGAGGTGTTAGCTTCCCCCCTGGCTAGATGATGCTACCGGAGTCTAGATTCCCGCGCTTCTCAAACCCCTTTAGGGCAGTGTACTACGGAGATCTTCATTAGGTTCACACCTTGAGAGGTTCTCTGTAGCGTACTACCTTGTGAACCCTGATGCAACTCCATTCTACCCAAGCTGTAACTCCATCGTCCAATCCAGCCCACTCAATCTTCATTCCATCAATCCCATCTCCCTCCTCTCCCCAGCCTACGTTGAGGAACCGTATATCTCGAGGTCGGAGATACCTGAGGAACCTGCAACCCGAGACTCTGATGCTCCTGAGGAACTCCATAGCTCAGAAGGATAGGCTCCGAGCTGGTCTACTCCAGCATGTGAAGAGTATCCTAGATACTCTGGATGATCTTATCAAGGGATTCTCGGAATCCCGTCCAAGGGATCAGACATCTTCAGCTCTTTAGAATTCAGCCTAGTAATATTAATGTGATTAGTAAAGTATTTACTCATGTTCTTAATAATAATAAGGTTACATAAAACTCTACTTATGATTATTTAATGATAGCTTACTTACGTCTGAAAGACAAAGTAAGAATTATTTGTGACTGTTCAGATCACAACAATCCTATCCTCTTTTCATTCTTTCCTCTCTTTAATCTTTCCTCTTTTCATTCTTTCCTGTTTTCATTCTTTCCTCTTTTCATTCTTTCCTCTTTTCATTCTTTCCTCTTTTCATTCTTTCCTCTTTTCATACTTTCCTCTCTTTAATCTTTCCTCTTTTCATTCTTTCCTCTCTTTAATCTTTCCTCTCTTCATCTTTTCCAATTTATGCAGCCTTTCCTCTTTTCATTCTTTCCTCTCCTCATTCTTTCCTCTTTTCATTCTTTCATTTCTTTAATCTTTCCTCTTTTCATCTTTTCCTTTATGCATCCTATCCTCTTTTCATTCTCTCCTCTCTTTAATCTTTCCTCTCTTCATCCTCCTCTTTTCCTTCTTTCCTCTCTTTAATCTTTCCTCTTTTTAATCTTTCCTCTTTTCATTCTTTCCTTTCTTTAATCTTTCCTCTTTTCATCTTTTCCTTTATGCATCCTATCCTCTTTTCATTCTTTCCTCTCTTCATCCTGTCCTCTTTTCATTCTTTCCTCTCTTTAATCTTTCCTCTTTTCATTATTTCCTGTTTTCATTCTTTCCTCTTTTCATACTTTCCTCTCTTTAATCTTTCCTCTCTTTAATCTTTCCTCTTTTCATTCTTTCCTTTCTTTAATCTTTAATCTTTTCATTCTTTCCTCTCTTTAATCTTTAATCTTTTCATTCTTTCCTCTCTTTAATCTTTCCTCTTTTCATTCTTTTCTCTCTTTATTCTTTCCTCTCTTTAATCTTTCCTCTTTTCATTCTTTCCTCTCTTTATTCTTTCCTCTTTTCATCCTTTTTTCTCGCCATCTTTTCCTTACTGCATCCTTTCCTCTCTTAATCCTTTCCTCTTTCCAACCTTTCCTCTCTACCTGTTCTCCTTTTATCCATTTCACTTTTCAATCTTTTCTCTTTTCAATCTTTCCTACCCTTATCCTTTCCTCTCTCCATCTTCTTATTAATCAATCGATTGAGTTTTATCATGTATAGTTTCGCATCTTGATTTAGACAGATAGAAACTGCACAGTCCATGCACCGTCTTGTCTCAGCCAACCCTTTAAGATTAAAGTCTGAAGAGAAGTTGAACCCAACCCTAGTCTGAGAACCCCGACNCTACGCTCTCTCTCTCTCTGCCTCTGCCACATAAGTTGTATCTACCTGGAGCTCCCTGCTCCAGGTACCTGGCTACACACCGCTCTCTCTTCATCAATCCTAACTCTTCAGTCTCAGTTATGCTCTGAACCCTGATACACCACGATTAGGTTGGTTGAAGACCTTGCCGGTGTTTTCTCGGAGGCAGTTAGGAGGATCAGTGACGGATCGGAGGACTCGGTCCTATCTTATCCTCGTCGTAGTTTTGACGAGGTTGAAAGTGAATGTGTGATCAGGGTTGAGGACGGGGAGGAGGGTGGAACCATGCTCCGCTTTTTCAGCCGACGGAAGGCGAAGGGGAGAGCGGAGCAGAAAGTAATAACTCCGGGTCGAAAACCCGTCTCTAAACCGAGTAAATATGTTATATCCTGTAATATTATCCTCCTGGACGGATCAGATCTTCCACTGGAGATTGGGGTGAGTAATTTTATTTCTCTCCGACCCAGACCGGTTTCAGAATTTGAATAATTAGCTCAGGGTCTGGGTTTCTAGTGTAAAGGGTTGAACCCGGAGAATTAAATGGGGTTTCACACATTTAGCTTATATCTGTCTGTAAATCTTATATGTAATAATATTAACCCTTAGTACGTATTGTTCGTCACACGGCTCGAAACCTTTGAATCTATTTTAATGGGTTTATCCTGTTCCTTCACCCCTTTGGTTAAACTTTCCAACTGGTCACTGGTCAAAGAAGAAGAGAACCGGTTTAACCGATTTAATTTAGTACTTAAACTTGAAAATATTCTTTCTCTTTGAATTCCTCAAAATATTTGTAAATATCTTGTAGATATTCTGGCAGTGTATACGTACAACTTTGTACGATATGTACGTACATTGTGCAATCCGATTCTTAATATTGTATATTAAATATGTACGCTGGTTTACTCCTTGGTAAATTACATCAATGTTTTTAATCTATATCAGAATATTTTATCTAATTTTAAACTAAGAAATATATTATAGTGATGGTTTCAAGTAATGCACAGTCCCCTCGCCCTCCCCGGTCAATGAAACTTATTTTTCCCATATCTTTTTTTCTTATCAGAATATTTATAGATATAAATATACAAAATAATCATAAGAGCAAATTTTGATGAACGAGTAATGAATATTGTATATATATGATTTATATATATATGAATTTACGCTACAAAGTATATGCAAGATATAACATTAATTGAAATCTGGATTTTTTAAAGCTTTATTGTGACATTTTTTCTACTGTATTTTACCTCCCTACCTTTATTCTAAGTCAATATGAATCACTCTGTGTGTTAAATTTGGAATTAGAATGCTTCTATATATTATAAAAATGTCAACAAGTGTTTTTTAATGTTTTTAAACACACAGGAAATGTGACAAGTGTATAAGAGTTTTTTTTTCAAGAAAGACAAATGTTTGTATGTATGTCATAATTTAGTGAAAAGTCAAAACTTCAATGAAATCTCTTATTTCCTCCAGTTTTAAGAAAATCCGTGAATACATTTTTGAAATCTGCAAATTTCTCTTTTGTGTAGACAAAACCAACATCAACAAAAATGAGGGAGCACTTAGAGTCTGCTATTTTTATAATTTAAAGGCTCAATACATTTTGCATGTACGATGAGTCTAAATAAATATGATAATACATTTGAACGCTATTTCCTCTGCAAAAATAAAAACTTATATAACTTATGTTAACTCATCCGCTAAAATTTGAAATACTTTTCAATAAAAAAATATCATCCAATATTTAGCTTTAATATTATATTCTTTTGTATTCTATTCCTTCTATATTGTAAATTTTGTAAAAAAAAATATTTAAATAATAGATTCGTGTTGTCATAATGTATACACTAGGACCACGTCGCTTCATAACAATACTTATTGTTTAGTTCTTCATGTTATAAACTTGTCATGGTTTGATCATTTGATGCATAATACTTCTTTGCACCTTCAATATGTCTTTTTAAATTCAATTAAAAAATCTTAAAATAAAAAATTGCTAGACCTTGACTCTCGATGGCTACAGGTTCAATATGTTTAAAGTCCAAGTTTTAAGATTACTTGAGATATTTTACTCTAAACATGAGTCAGAAATATAGATTGTTGAGTGTTTATGTTCTCTCTATAAATGCATGGCATATTAGGCCGGTAATCATAATTGTTCATCCTTCTTGATATGAACATGCGAGCCTACGGTTAATGAACAGTTTTATTGTCTTGTGTTTGCTGGTTTGAACTCTTGAACTAACGGTGAACATTGAAAAATCTTACTTTAAATCTCAGTCCCTGTCAAATGCAGGATTTCGCGCCAAAATTAATGGCCTAATTTTTTGTGTGCACACAGCCCCCGCCCCTCCTAGTTCTCTGGCATGGTTCCACGACTTTTAAGAGTTGGTTACGCTGCAAAAAATTTGATTTCTCACCTCCGAACCAGGGGGGGGGGGCTTTCTTAACATTTTTATTTTCTCTTCATGGTTTGAACCTAAATCTTTCCATGGATTTGTGGCAAAAATACTATGCAATCTGTTCGGATGAATGTATAGGGTTTCACCGGGACTTCTAATCCGACGATTTACACACTTTTCATGTCTCAGGGAATCTCAGCTACGAAGTTAAAAATTTGAATAATCCTGAGAATTGCAGTGAACCTTGCCCCTAATCCCCATATCTTGCATATACCCAGACACTATACCCGTTTACCCTGCATTAATGGATTTTATATACTTTTCAGTGTTATACAATCTTAATCCTATATCCTCTCTGCATTCTGTCTTTATATTCTCTGTTTCATGTCTGTATCTTCTCTGTATCATGTTTATATATATTCTCTGTATCATGTCTATCTTCTCTGGTATGTTTATGTATTCTCTGTATCATGTCTGTATCTTCTCTGTATCATGTCTTTCTTCTCTCGTATGTTCATATTTTCTCTATCATCTCTACATCTTCTCTGTATCATGTCTTATCATTTTCATCATTTGTATCACGTCTTCTTTAAGTTTAATGGAATTGAGTCTTTGCCACAAACTAAAACTTTCTTATACCTTAATATTTGCCACCTAATGGTGTAAATCTTTGAAATTTTAAACAGATTATTAAATCTAACAGAATTCATAGTTTGAAATATCTCAGGTTTACGGCATTGGGTTGCAAAGATATAGGTACAAAAAAATCAGACTTTGTGGCAAAGACTCAATTCCTTTCGCACATTGATTTCCAAGTCAGCAGCCTGTGCTTCTAGAGATGTATTAGAACAAAAACAATGGGTGTGTTTACTAAGTCTATTTGTAAAGCTAGGCCAGGGTTCAATAAATTTCTCTTCATGTATCTCCACAAGACAGTTGTGTACACTCCACTAAGCGATGTAAACTGGAGATAAAGGTTCATTTTTCTGCCCTATAGTATATTAAATGTTTTCTTAGAAGTTAGTCTTTAAACTTCCATAATAATTTTAATGACTTCATCTTCATAATAGTAAATTTCATTTTTCAACGAATCCCCCCTTCATCATACTCTTTCCTGAGCTGGGCATTTTCCTCTAAAATTTGAATATCATAATCCTTAAATTGCTTTGACGAAATGAAAATTAGTGGTTTGGAAAATTTGGAAAGGGATTTGAGGGTTTAGGATGTGCATTAAGCAAACACTATTATTAGTATTTGGTTTTTATTCCTTGATCCGACGCATCATCATTAGTTTGACGACTTAATTACTTAATTCCTGGATCCATGTCTTGCGGATTTCTGGTTCCTGTGGTATATGGATTTATTGTGATCCATGTTCTGTAGATTTCGGTTTTTAGATTTTTGCGGATTTTTTATCTTTCTATTTTCCTGATTTTTTCGCTAGCTTCCTTTTAACTCATTTCTTTATAGTTTCAAATATTGTTTCATTGATTTCATTTTTCAAAACTGTATCATGGTTCTTAATTCATCCAAGTGTTCAAATTCGTTAAGGCAGAACCGAATTCTACATCTGCAGTTAGAGTTCAAAACATCAAAATATTTATTCTAAACAAATTGAATTGTCCACAAGTTGACAATTGACGGGTGTGGGAAGAGAATATCTAGTAGCCAAGGTATGGGGTGGGGTTCGGAGCTAAGGTATGGGCGGGGTACGGAACTAGGGTTTGGGAGGACCTGGAGTAGATGAACGTGACGTTTGCATCTTTTCTTTAATCCATTGATTTCTAATTGATCATCTCCTCCTTCCACTTCCACTCTGTCCCTTCATCCCCCCCCCTCCTTTATTCCTTCTCCTTCCCTACTTACCCTCCTCCTTCCGAAATTGGGTTGCAAAGATATAGGGATGAGAAGATCAGAGTGTGTCACGTGGCAAAGACTCGACTTTTTTCTAGAACTTACTTGCTTTTATTTTTTAATTATTTTTTCTTGAATTCAGATGATTAACTTTATCAGTCCTTTAAACCAGTGGAATCTGGATTACTTGAAACAGAATTATTGAGCGAAACCCCGGAGAACACTTTGGAGGGGGGGGGGAGGTAGAGTTTCAGGAAGGAAGGAAGGAAGGAAGGAAAACAGTTTCATGATTTCTGCCAAGAATCCGCTTCCTCTCACAACTTTCCCCTTTAGCCCTTTTTCGTCATGTCTACAATTTTTGCTGAAAATTTTTGTATTTTTACCCTCCCCCCCCCTCCTTTATAATTGTTGATCCTGGAACTACGGTTCTACTTGTTGCTCCGCTCCAGTGGTTACCAGCCTACCTAGAGAAGAAACCACGGGAAACCAAACTGTTCCTTAGCTCTCTCAACCTAAACACAAAAAATACAGCTCAGGGCGCGGAGAGTATAATGGAGGGGGGGGGCTACTTCCTGTTTCACTTCCGTTTTAAAAATACAAGATTCATAACAATCCTAAAATCTAGAAAAGAATTAAGTCTTTGTCACAAACTCTGACTTTCTAATCCTTATATCTTCGCAACCCAATGTCGTAGACCTTAGATATTTAGAAATATGAATTCTGTTAGATCAAATGATTTAAGTTTGAAAAATCAAAGGTTTACTCCATCAATTTGCAAAGATATAATTAATTAATAGAAGAATAAACTATCATACTAAATGGCGAAATTAATTTATAATTTAAATCAAAGTTTTTATATAATTAGGACAAATTTTATAATAATATTCTTTAATTTTTATAAATTGTGTTTTAATCTTTTGTTTTTATGTTTATTGCAATTGTTTTTTTACAGTTAATTTCAATTTATGTTTTTTATCTGAAATGTTTCTTTATTTTGTTTACAGTTTAACAAACTTCATACGTTTCTGCTCTTTGATACTTCATACCCTGGTTGTATAGTGTTTACTTCATACCCTGGTTGTATAGTGTTTACTTCATACCCAGGCTGTAATGTGTTTACTGTAGACTTGAAAACTTCAGAACTTAGTTATTTAACTTATTAGCTTGGTTCCC